AGGCCCAGGCTGGATTTGAAACCGCCAGCTCAGGTGTATGTGGCTGGCGCCTTAGCCGCTTGAGCTACAGGTGCCGAGCCAAGAATAGAAATCTTTACCAGGGCAGATGAGCTGCTATATAATCTATGACATTGCAGTTATGATTTGTATGTATTCACATATATACATATGTACACACACACACACGTATATATATATTCATTTCTTGAAGACACAGAGATAAAATCTCTTTAATTAGGCTTTATTCATTCAGAATTTGGGATGCTTTTTTTTTTTGAGACAGAGTCTCACTATGTTATTCTCAGTAGAGTGCTGTAGCATCATAACTCACAGCAACCTCAAACTCTTAGGCTTAAGCAATTCTCTTGCCTGAGCCTCCCAAGTAGCTGCGACTACAGGCACCCACAACAACACTTGACTTTTTTGTTGCTGTAGTTGTCATTGTTGTTTAGCAAGCCGGGGCCGGGTTTGAACCCACCAGCCTTGGTGTATGTGGCCGGTGCCCTGACCACTTAGCTACGAGAGCTGAGCCAGAATTTGGGATACTTTTGACCTGAAGTGTTCTTTTGCTCTGTTAAAACAGTTATTTGCTTTACACAAACAGGGAGGAGGAAGAGGAAGGGCCTGTCATTTATTGAGTGCCTGCTTCATTCCAGCCAGCCTGCTAGGCACTTACATGCCTTTGCCCACCTGCCCCACCCCCACCCCAGTAACCTAGGCAGTGGGCTTTACTAGCCCCATTTCACATGTGAAAGTTGCAGGCTTGGAAACAGGTCATGATCTGCTTAAAGCTGCATAACTAAGGGTGACTGAGCTGGGAGACACAGAAGTAAGTCTGTGTCCTTTTCCACTAGTTTGTGTAATTTCCTAAAAATGCACTATTTAGAAGTGCATAGATGTACCTTTGCTCCTAAATATGGGGTACTGAACCCAGAAGAAGGTACAATGCTCAGCTTATCAAATCTGTAATCTTTCCAGGTGTGTGAGTACATGCTCGTATATACATAAATACATACCTCACGGGCAGTAATGTGCTTCTCACTGAATGTTCACAAAAGATCTGAAAAGTTCCAGGTTAATGATAGGGATCTGGCTCTTTTGGTAAACAGTAGCACTAGGATCAATTGGTATGTTACATTCATAATGCTGGCAATTTGTTCGTAAACCATAAGGCACATCTGTGTAAATACAGTTTGCGCCTCGGATCAGATTGAACATCAGCATTAAAGGGCTTTGGAATCTGATACTAGATCTATGTTGAATTAAAGGGTTATTCCTAACCCCATAAGTGCATCAATGTACAAAGTTATGATTTAATAAAAAATAATTCAAAAAAAAGAAAGCCAGCAGCACCTGTGGTTCAAGGAGTAGGGCACTGGCCCCATATACCGGAAGTGGTGGGTTCAAACCTGCCTCAGCCAAAAAAAAAAGGAAAGCTTTAATAAATGAATAAATAAATAAAAATAAAAATAAAGGGTTATGCCTGTATTGATTAATGGTTTTTAAAAAATCACAAAAATTTTATTATACATGATGACTCTGAACCCCAGATAAATCTCGAAGTGATAAATCCTTTGAAACACATTTTGAAATACTGGTATAATATTCAAAATTTGATAATGCAAATACAGCTTAAATAAGTAATGAAAAGAGATTACATATTTTTATATAATTAGTTGGCATAATTTTTTTTGGCCGGGGCTGGGTTTGAACCCCGCTACCTCCGGCATATGGAGCCAGCGCCCTACCCTTTTGAGCCACAGGCACTGCCCAGTTGGCATAATTTTTAAATATATAGTGACATATATGTATATTTGTGTGTGTGTACTTAGTTAAGGCTGTCTCTTGCACTTGATAAGCATTTACTAAACAGTAGGGTTTTTTTTTTTTTAAAATAAATGACCTCTTCACTTTAAAAGATTTTATTAGAACAATTATATGAGATGAGTATGTGTTTCTTTTTTTTTTTTATTGTTGTTGCAGTTTGGCCGGGGCCAGGATCCAACCCACCACCCTTGGTATATGGGCTGGTGCCCTACGCACTGAGCCACAGGCACCACCCGAGTATATGTTTCTTCACGGATTTCAAAATTGCCACTACATCAAATGGACTTTTTTCTCAGTTACTGAGAATTAGTAAGCTTTAACTCTGTGAATGAAAAATACATTTTTTTCTTACATTTCAATTTACATAAATAGCTATTATCTGAGCTACAGGCTATGAAACTGGACCATGTATGGTCATTCAGGCCTGTAATCCCAGCACTTTTGGAGGCCGGAGTGGGAGGATAGCTTGAGGCAAAGAGTTCAAGGTCATTGGGAACATAGTCAGATCCATTCTCTACAAAATATTTTTTAAAAATAAGCCAGGTGGTTTGGCGCCTGTGGCTCAAGCAGCTAAAGTGCCAGTCACATACACCTGAGCTGGTGGGTTCGAATCCAGCCAAGGCCCCCCAAACAATAATGGCAGCTGCAACCAAAAATAGCCAGACTTTGTGGTAGGTGCCTGTAGTCCCAGCTACTTGGGAGGCTCAAGAATCACTTGAGCCCAGGAGTTGGAGGTTGCTGTGAGCTGTGATGCCACAGTACTCTACCCAGGGTGACAGCCTGAGGCTCTGTCTCAAAAAAAAAAAAAAAATTAGCCAGGTATTGGCCAGGTGCTGGTTGCTCACATCTGTAATCCTAGCGCTCTGGGAAGCCAAGGTGAGTAGATTGCCTGAGCTCACAAGTTCAAGACCAGCCTGAGCAAAAGCAAGACCCTGTCTCTACTGAAAATAAAAAAACAAGCAAGAGGATCACTTGAGCCCAAGAGTTGGAGGTTGCTGTGAGCTATGACATCACAGCACTCTATCCAGGGGAAAAGCTTGAACCTCTGTCTAAAAAAAAAAAAAAATAGCCAGGTGTGAAAAAAAATATTAGCCAGATATGATGGGTGCACACAGGTAGTCCCAGCGACTCAGGAGGCGGAGGCAGAAGGACCACTTGAACCCAGGAGTTTGAGGTCACTGTGAGCTATGATCATGCCAATGCACTCTAGCCTGGGTGGCAGAGCAAGACCCTGTCTCTATTTTAAAAAAAGAAAAAAAAGAAAAATGTATCTGACCATCTCCCACACATAGCCAGAAATAAGATTCATTTGTTAGTAGGGGTAAAAGTCCAAGGAAGCTGAATCTTAAAATATAAATTGTACCATCTGATGACTTTTTTTTTTTTTTTTTTTGAGACAAAATCTCACTTTGTCGCCCTTGGTAGGGTGCTGTGGTGTCATTATTCATAGCAACCTTCAATTCTTGGGCTCAAGAGATCTTCTTGCCTCAGTGTTTCATTTTTAGTAGAGAAGGGGTTTTGCTCTTGTTCAGGCTGGTCTTGAACTCCTGACCTCAAACAGTCCACCTGCCTTGACCTCCCAGATCCCTCTGATAACTTTTTAAAGCATTTTTATTTAAATAGCTCATGCATTTTCTCTGAGCAGACCAATACTTGTAAGGTACTCTGTGTTTTTTCTTCCCTTTTTCTTTTAAAGCATGTATTATAATCCTATTTTAAGTATGTATTTTTATTTTGCTGTCTCTGAAGAGAGTTCACTGGGAGATTTGGTCTTGATTCCACTCGCTGGTGGCAGAGATGGTAATAATCAGACTGAGGGATCAGAGATACTTAAATAGGTACTAGCTTGCAGTTCTGCTTGGATCCCTTCAGCGAATATTTATTTATTTATTTATTTATTGACAGAGTCTCACTTCGTTGGCTCCAGTAGAGTGCCATGGTGTCACAGCTCATAGCAACCAAACTTGTGGCCTCAAGCAATCCACTTGCCTCAGCCTCCTGAGTAGCTGGGACTACAGGCACCTGCTGCAACACCTAGCTATTTTTTATTTTTTTGTTTGTTTGTTTTTTTAGAGATGAGGGGCTCTCACTCTTGTTCAGGCTGGTCTTGAACTCCTGAGCTCAGGCAATCCACCCTCCTCGGCCTCCCAGAGTGCTGGGATTACAGGAATGAGCCACCACGCCCAGCCTAGCAAATATTTATTGAGCAAATTCTAATGGGTCACTTGGCACAACTATATTTTCAGAGTGCCAGATAACCGTTGCTGTTAAACTTGAACTTTTGTGTTTTCCTTTTCTAGGAGTACACAGTGAAAATAAGTAATATCCCTACGATTAAGAGATTCCTTGAACCAGGCAGCAAGAAGAAGCCACCTCCTGATGACATCTATGTGAGAACAGTCTACAATGTCTTTATGCCGTGAAACAGTACATCTGTCTGTGGGTGAGAACGCGTACCTGGAGGCGGCTGTGTCCATTGATTCCAGCTCTGTGCTGTGTGTTAAATCGTGTCCTAAATTGGGTTGTTCACATCAAGGAGATCTTCCTTTCTAGAAATTTCAACTTCTTTTTTTTTTTTTTGGTCCAGTAAATAATTGTCATAGGAAATCTTTTTGGAAAACCTTTTGGGAACGGTTGATGCTTAAATTCGATCTGATCGAATTACTCATTTCCCATAGCTAGTCCCTCCTGATGAGAAGGAGGGGCAGAATCTCATGTTCTCCCCTGAGCGTTTTTCTACTCTCTTTATCCTATTTCTAAGGCCTTGCCAGTCTCTTCCTAATTTTTAGTGTCCAGTAACAACAAAATGTTCAGTAAGTGACTTTCCTCTGAGTTGTAATAAATCGAATAGTAGTAATGAATGCAATTGATATTAGCGAAAATAAAGAATTTCTCTATCATTGCCCTGTTGCTAGAATTTTTTTAATTAAAAATTTTGAAATACAAAAGATACCTGCATGGCTGAAAAATCAAAAAAAGATGCCTATAATCCTAGTACTCTGGGAGGCCAAGGAGGGTGGATTGCTTGAGCTCACAGATTCGAGACCATTCTGCAGAGTGAGACCTCATCTCTAAAAAATAGCTGGGCATTGTGGCAGGTGCCTGTAGTACCAGCTACTTGGGAGGTTGAGGCAAGAGAAATCACTTAAGCCCAAGGGTTTGAGGTTGCTGTGAGCTATGACACAACAGTACTCAACTGAGGGTGACAAAGTGAGACTCTGTCTCAAAAAAAAAAAATCAAAAAAAGAGTTGAGTGTGGTAGCTCGTACCTGTAATCCTAGCACTCTAAGAGGCCCATGCAGGAGGATTGCTTGAGGTCAGGAGTTTGAAACAAGCCTGAGCAAGGACAAGACCCTGTCTCTAAAAAATAGCCTGGCATTGTGGTGGGTGCCTGTAGTCCCAGGTACTCAAGAGGCTGAGGCAAGAGTATCACTTGAACCCAAAAGTCTGAGGTTGTTGTGAGCTATGATGTGATGATATGAAACTCTATCTCAAAAAAAAAAAAAAGATTAAATAAATAAAATTCAAAAAAGTATAAAGGAGGGTACCGTTTTAGAAATCTTTTCAACCTTGCCTCCCAACAATGCAATCTCGCTTCTCAGAGGCAAACAGTTATTTATACGTCTTTCTAGTTATATTGGCCACATGTATAAGAAATTGCAAATATATATTATTTTAATCTTCTAATTACCCAAATGATTATGAGTAGGCTTTTAATGTTTTGCATTTCAAAACTGAAAGTATGTTTTTTGAGACAGTGTCTCACTCTGTCACCCCAGGTAGAGTACAGTGGCATCACTGTAGCTCACTGCAATCTCAAACTCCTAGGCTCAAGCAGTCCTTCTGCCTCAGCCTCCTGAGTAGCTGGGACTACAGGCACTCACCACAACACCCAGCTAATTTTTTTTTTGCAGGTTTTGGCTGGGGCCGGGTTTGAACCCGCCACCTTCGGTATATGGGGGCTGGCTCCCTACTCCTTTGAGCCACAGGGGCTGCCCACATTTTTCTGTTTGTAATAGAGACAGGGTCTCACCCTTGCTCAGGCTGATCTCAAACTCCTGACCTCAAGTGATCCTCCTTCCTCAGATTACTGGGATTACAGGCATGAGCACAGCACCCCCAGCCAACACTGCTTCTAAACAGGTGCTGATTTATGTCTCACATACTTCTTGAGCACCTGGTATGTGCGAGACAGGTTACCAGGAGGCAGAATCATAGATTAGAACCCTTACTCAGGAAAGTTCACAAAGGAGATACACCTATAAACAGTGGAAGTGATTTTTATTTTTACTTATTT